GCTCCCGCCTCCTCTACTTCCTCGAACCAGGCACTTGCGCGGAGGCGTGCGGTGCTGCGGGGCTGGGCGGCGCAGGCTCGCGCCTCAAAGGGGTCGACCTCCCGCCCCGCCGCGCAGAGCCGGCCGGCGGCCGCTCGCCGGGTAACGGCGGCGCCGCGGCCTCCGACCCGCGCGACCCCCTCTCCCAGCAAGGCTGCCAGCAGGCAGGCGGCGGCGATCGCTGCGGCGGACGCGCGGCTCTTCCCGGCCACCGCGGCGGCCGAGAAGGCGGCCAAGGCGAAGACGCGAGCCACGTCTCCCGCCGCCAGGAAGCCGACACCCGCACGTGCCTCCTCGCTTGCCGGCAAGTCACCCTCCGCCGCCAAGGCGGCGGCAGCCAAGGCGGCGGCAGCCAAGGCGGCGGCAGCCAAGAGGGCGGCGGCGGCAAAGGCGGCGGCGGCGGCGAAGGCGAAACTCGCAAAGGCGACGGCCGCGAAGAGGCAGGCTGCAGCTAAGGCGGCGGCGGCAAAGAAGGTAATTCTCTCGCCCTGCTCTCACCCACGCGCACCCCGCCTTGCAGTCTGAAGGCTGCGGGGTACCTTCCAACTAGCCAGCCTTTGAGACGCTGATTTCACTCTTCCTGTGTACTTCAGGCGGCCGATGCAAAGAAGGCGGCGGCGGCGAAGAAGACGGCGGCAGCGAAGCTCGCGGCGGCGAAGAAGGTGCAATAATAGAAGGTATAATATAAGAAGGTGCCGACCCAAGCCCTCTCCCTCTCCAGCTCCTCTCTAGCTCCTCTCTCCACTCCTCTCTGCCCGCTCCTCTCTGGCTCCTCGCCCGCTCCTGCTCTCGACACCTCCCGTCTCCTCTTGCCCCCCCCCCCCCACACACCCCCACACACGCTCACACCCACACCCACACCCACACCACACCACACCACACCAACACACACACCCCTATCCCCCGCCGCCCGTCCCGTCCGCAGACGCCGGTCAAGAAGGCTGCCAAAAAGGCGCAAGGCCAGGGAGGGGAGGGTGGGGTGGGGTGGGGTGGGGTGGGGTGGGGTGGGGTGTAGGTGTGAGCGTGTGTGGGGGTGGGTGGGGGGGGGGGGGCAGGAGGTGCGGGGAGGGGCGGCGTGGCGGGGCGGGAACGGGATCAGAGGGGGATGGCTGCGCTCTTGATAGCACGGAAGGTCTCAGCCGCTCTTCGGCCTGGTTCTCAGCAGAGGGCTGAAAGCTGGCGCTCAAGAAGCAAGCAATCACTCGGGCCGATGGAGCCAAC